CAAGTTAGGAAAAGCTGGCATGAGGCCTGGGGGTGGCTTTTCTTATTAAACCATGGCCACTGAGCAAATAGAGCCCTGGCTGCCCATATCTTCTGATCCCTGTTAATAGAGATACCTGGCTAACAGCTCGGGGTGCAACTGGAAGGAGAAAAAAAGGATCAGGGATCTCACTTAATGAGAAAATTTGTTGCTGAACCAACCACCAAAGCCCAAGGATTGATATCAGCAGGGAATGTGTTGGCATGTGATGGCAGTGAAATCTGCCCTGATCCCATGGAGGAGATGCTGGTCTAAGAGTTTTCTGCAGAGAGATGGATCCTGCTCAGCACCACTGGTGGTTTCTGCAAGATGATTTCCCAGTTTCCCAGAGGAACAGATGGGCCAAAGGTCAGGAACTTGTGGGACCAAGTTCACCTAAAGGCTCTGGATCACAGCAAGCAGCAACAGGCTCTCCTCATCACTTTTTCCAAATTGGAGACATCCCTTTTCCATAGGCAAGTGGGGCAGCTTGGTACTTTCTACCTAATTCCCTCCACAATGTGAGTATTTGCAGATCAGATTCAGGATTTTGGGGAGCCCTGATGCCAATTCCTTGAGCCTTTCTGGGAAATCAGCCCTGGATGAGCAGCCCCTTGACACAAACTGCAGGTCAGGACAGCAGAGCTGCTCCCACCACTGCAGGGACCTGTGCTGCATGCCCTGATCTGATTTTGGTTTATTCTCCTGCCAAGGTGGCACTTTGGCCACTTTGCTGAATATATCCCTGGAAAGCAGAGCATGATTTCCAGCCCAGAAGTCACATCCAGGACATCCCCTCCTCTGATTTAATCATGTGCAGGCAGGGGAAGATGCCCAGGCATCTGTACCATGCCACACTATGACCATTGGTTTGGCTTCTCAGCTGCTCTTGTTCTGACCTCAGCGTGGCTGCAAAGGCCTCAGCAGAGAGAGGATGGCCCTGGGGTGAATATTTTGGCTAATTTTTATCCATAGGTGGCAGCAGCTCCCTGTGCTGGGCGGCCACTGCCCTAGTCCCAAACCTGGCACTGAGCAGCACAGCCAGGAAAATGCAGCCTAGGAGGAGCAGGAGGGCAGAGCCTGAGCACAGATCCTGTTTGCTACTTCCTCTGCAGCAACAGGTCCTCAAGAGAGGGAGGATTCAGCAGACCCTGCAGGATCAGGCCCTGCAGCACCACAGAGACCTCCAGCCTGCATTTCTGCTGGGCTGGGAGCCAGTGCTGCCTTCCTGCTGCAGGGAAATCACCCTGTGCTCCAGGGCAGGGGGGTGGGAAGGGGCTGCTGGGCAACTCTCCCACCATTGACCACATTCCTGAAGCCACGAGGGTGTCACATCCATGGAGGGAATCTGGCAGCAGAATTAAGCCTCCGTGGCTGGGCACAGGGTGCCCCATCATCCCCAGCAGCAGCGAACACCCACCCATGATGTCCCACGGGGCAGCAGCTCCTTCAGCTCTGCAGCCTTCCTTGTGTTCCAGGTGCTTCTGCCAAGCACAAAGTGTGACACCAAGAGCTGTTTCCCAACAGTGCACACAACCAGCAGATAATAAAAGCCAGTTGCCAGCTGCAAGGTGGAGCCCAGAGAGCCAGGTTAAAGAAAAACAAGCAAACAAACAGCAAAAACCACAACACAACAAACACAAAAGGAAAACACAGGAACCTTGTTCAGAAGCAAACTGTGGGGTCAGTCACAGTCAACTCAGAGGTTCTCATTAGAGGAAAAATCAAAGAGAAAATCTATCCAAATCTTGTCATCTGCTTGCTTTTAAAGCAGCTGATTCTTGATCAATATAAATTCAGTTTATCTTCCTCTCCTCAACACACTCTGAACTGGACGCTCCATGAATTTCCCCAGGCTCCCTCCATCCCACCCAAGCTGCTCCTGTTGCATCATTAAGGTAGAAGAGATTTGACTTTGGGCTGAAGAGCAGAGCAAGACACATTTTGCTGGAGAGTGCAATTCATCCCTGCAGGAGACTGATCTACCCCAAACCCACAGAGCCCCAGCACACCCCATGTGGCTCTGGGTGCAGCATCATGCCTTGGCTCTATCTGCTTAACAAGATGATCCTTTAAAAAAAGCAGCCCCAAACGGGGGTCATTGCACAGAGGGACTGGGAAGTGTTTGTTCATCTCTGCTCTATCATTAATTAAAGCACTTAGCCCACTCAGGCTCAGTGGGGCACAAAACCATCCTGTAGCTGCTGGTAAGAATATACTGGGCTAAAGAATATAATGTCTATCTCAATACATTCTTATTGCTCTGCACATGACAGGCATTCTATTCCCTAACCCAAGCTCACTAAACCTACCCACCTAACTACTCCCAATTATCCTAGCTACAAAACCCTGCTACTCTCCTCAGCCTTCCCATGGATTTGTGCCTCCTACCTGTGATTTCACTACGACCAACTCATCCAGTTCCCGTGAAAAAACCTCCCCCACTGCCCCTAGCCCTGTGCCCCTGCCACACCAGCATGCCAGGCCTTCCTCCTTACCCAAGGACATGTGCCTGAACGTAAAGGATCACTATGAAAAAGTGAACATAGAGGGACACCAACCCTCTCATGTCCTAATAATAAACCTTAGAAAAGTAGGAATTGAACCTACACAAAAGGGATCAAAACTCTCCATCCTTCCTTTATATTATTTCCTAGTAGGGTCAGCTAATAAAGCCTATACCCTGAAAATGATGGTTTAACTCCTTCCTCTACTAATGAGCCCTTATGCCAAACTAATCTTCAACATAAACCTACTCTTAGGGACAACTATCACAATCTCTAGTAGCCACTATAATAGTCTGAACCAGGTTAGAAATCAGCACTCCAGCCATTATCCCTCTCATCTCAAAACACCATCACCCACGAGCCATTGAGGCCACAATCAAATACTTTTTAGCACAGGCAGCAGCTTCAACACTATTACTTTTCTCAAGCATGATCAACACCTGATCTGCAGGACAATGAGACATCACCCAACTAAATCACCTCAACTCATGTGCCTTACTAACAACAGTAATTGCAATAAAACTAGGACTGGTCCCATTCTACTCCTGATTCCCAGAGGTCCTTCAAGGCTCTTCACTAACCACCACAATACTCCTGTCAACAGTAATAAAATTCCCCCAATCACCATCCTTTTCCTAACATTCCACTCACTCAACCCAACCTTACTCACCACTATAACAATCCTACCAACTGCCCTGGGGGCCTGAATAGGATTGAACCAAACACAAGTCCAAAAAATCCTTTTGGGCTGGAAAAATCTCCTGAGCTCAGGCCCTGGGGCTCTATGTGCTTTGCAGCCAGTGGGACTGGGAGTGAATGCTCCCAGCAGGGCTGGACTGGAGGGTCCAGGGATCTCAAAATCAAACCGTTGATCAAACCTGATCATAAGGCACAAAAGCAGAGTCTAATGCTGAGCATGAAAACAAGCACATGGCTGTTTAAACTGCCTGTTGGTATTTGTGTATTCAAAGTCCATCACAGCCTTTAGCCAACTCCTTCCTTGGAAAGAGCTGAGTTGGCACCATCAGCAGGGAAACTGAGGCACAGCCAGCACCACGTGGTCTTGAGCTGGATCATGTATAGTCTTGTTTTGGTCCTGAATTGCCTCTCCAAAATCTGAGGCTTCTGCTGGGAACCAGCAGCAGGTGAGACCCTGCTGCTCCCCTGGAGCACCCTGGGGGTGAGCAGCAGCCAAAGGGGTTTGCCAAGGCATGAGAAGCCCCCAGAGCAGTGCTTGCTGCTATCAGCCAGTGCCACCCTGCAACCACTCCCTTTGGATACACACACCTGCATATGGGGGGAGCAGAGATCCTAGGGACAGTGGGGGCAGGACAAGGACTGCTGCCTGGAGACAGAGCTCAGGGCAAAGCTGACACAACACATTTCCCTGCTAGAAACAAGGAATGAAGCTGGAAGTGACCCTGGATGCCTCAGCAACGTGGACAAAAAGCAGAGCAGCTGACACCCCCCCAGGCTGCTCCCCAGCCAGGCAGCTGCCTGCACACAGCTTTGCCCTTTGCCCTGTATGGGAAAGTACAAAGTCACCTCTCTGGGGTCCCACAGCTGCCACCAGGGCTGCAGTGCCTGCTGCAGGCAGGGACTGGCCCATGTCTCATGCTGGGACTGAAGCCAAACCAGAGCCAGATTTGGCATCTTTTAAGTCCACATCTGCCAGAGGTTTGTTTGCCTCCAGCAGACACAGGGACCTTGCCCTCCTTGCATGCAGGCACCCGCACACTTTGTTTTCCCAGTGCTTTATGTGCAGCACTGCCCAGTCACAGATGGGCCAAACAGCCAAGCTGACCAAGGCAAAAATCAGCCAAAACACCACCAGGCTCTAGACCAACATCAGACACACAAAACACAAGCCCTGAGCAACCCTCCTCTCTCCCTTGGGTACAGAGGGCACCCAAATCTGTACCCAAATCCTTCCCCCACCTCAAACAGACCCATCTCAGAAACAAGACTCTCCCCCCTGAGGCACCAATGCCCCAGAGGCAGGGATGTGCCCGGGATAGCTCAGTGCCAGCAGGGATGGGACTGTTCAGTGCCAGCAGGGACAGGAGGAAAGGGCAGGGGGAGGTGTTGGCAGCACCACCACAGCCCTTCAGGATCCTGCTCACATGCAAACCACACAGGTAGGTACTGGTGAGTCACTACAGAGCCACCCAGCATTACTGGACCCTGCTGTCCCCACCGACACGGGCAGCACCCCTCTGCCCTCCCAACCCCCCCAAAGAACACCCCACGGGGTTTTAAAAGGCTGCTCAACTTTATTCATTGCAGTTGTACAAGGTAAAGAAAACGTGTTACGGAGCCTGTAGAAAGGGCACTGTTGCATTAAGAGTAAAAAGGCTGGTGTGGGAATCACTTTAGGGGGGGGGTCATGGCACTTTTGTCATTACCAAGCAGCACCTTCGCCTACTCTATGGGGGTGGAGGGGAAGGGGCTGTGCCCGCCGGGCTGGGCAGCAGCTCATGCTGAGGGCCCCGAGCTGGGCTCGCTGGCGTGGCGCTGCCGTCCTGCGCCCAGGGCCGGCGCCAGGGCACACGCCATGGGTCCCGTGGTCACCTGCAGAGCTCCCAGGCTGCAAGGCAGAGCAGAGAGAGGGTCAGAGGGAGAGCCAGGCGCTCTCGTATTCATTCCCCCCCCCTCCCCGTGGCAAAGGAGGCAGGGGGGGCACGGAGGTGTCACCCGCTGGGGCAGGAGGTACCCCAGGGGATGCAGCAGGGATGTGCCCCCCCAACCCATCCACCCCAATCATCTCAACCAAGGAAAGCACTCACCTTTCAGAGGACTCTGACACAGTTGTCATGGCTGGGTGAGTCGTCTTCCCAAAGAAGAAGCTGGCCCACCAGTGGCCGGGGTCAGACTTGGGCAGGCCTGGGGAACAGCGAGTGCCAGGGAAAAACCCAGGTCAGCACGGCCCAGGCAGCACCACTACCACCCCGTTCTCATCCCACAGGAGAGGCTGGACCACCTCCAGTGAGATGTGCTGTGGAGGGGCAGGGAGCAGAGCCCCCCGCCCAGCACTCACCCGGGGGGTGGGGGATGACCTCCCCAGAATACTCCGAGCTGCCGCAGGAGCTGTTGCTGGAGGTGGAACTCAGGCGCCCTGTGGAGAAACCACAGCCATCAGAGCCACCACCAAGCCTCAGCTGTGCCATGAAAAGCAGAGCACAGCCCTGGTGAGGCTCTCCCTGGGGTGACCCAGCTCAGGCCCAGCACCACCCTGCTCCTGAACTTGCCCAGATTTAGTGGCGAGTTCATCAAAACCACGAGGAAGGAAATACTGGTGAGATTACAAGCTGGCCAAGAGCAGGTAGCAGAAAAGCACCTGAACGCTTCTGTAGGAAAACACTTGCAAGCCCAAGGACATTATTTAATAGCTTTGCATCTGTGTGCAACACTTGAGAGGCCTTTGCAGATGACTTGGGGCCAAGAGGAGGCAGATTCCTGCATATAATCCAGGCAGTTTTAGGCCACCTGCTAGAAGCCTGTCACTGCTTTCAGCTCAAAGGGAACACCTGAATTCTCTCTGGTTGAGGGAATCCATTAAACCAGAAAGTCTCTCCTGTGGAGATGTACCAGCAGCTACCATTGCCCAGACTAGCTTTGCAACTCATTTCCACAGCCACACTGCAAGGTGCATTTGAAGCTGTCACCTCCTCTCACTTACAACCTTAACAACAAGTGAAGGAGTCCACAAGACCCCACCACCAGCTGGTACCACTGGGCAGGGGCTGTGGTGAGGGCCCAAGCACCCTTTTTCACCAAGGAGCCTGCCAGCTCTCCCTGGGGCTGCAGCTGAAGCCTCACAGCTTCACCTCTGCTGGAACCACATCCCCTCAAGCCTGGATGAGTGTCCTGCCCCTCCTCCCAGCCCCCTGCCCTTACTTCTGTGGTAGTTGTGTGTTGCCATGAGCGAGCCGCTGGATGGGATGGATGCCATGGTTCTCAAGCTTGGATCTTGTGCAGATGGAAAACCTGGGAGCAAAGAGGCAGCTGTCAGTGCAGAGGGGCCTCGGGGGTCAAACCCACACAGAGGGCTCGACCTAAACCCACGCAAGAGAAAGCTGCAAGAGTCTGAATGGTTCCAGTGTGACTTCTGAAGGGTCTGGACGTGTGAAGCTTCACAGTGGCACTGCACTGGGTGCAGAGGTTAGAGCTCACGGGGCTACAACAGGGTTTAAACCGGCAGCTGTAGAGCCCAGAGCTGCGTGCAGAGCCCTGGAAAGCAGCTGCTTGCCCAGAGCACAGGCCTGGCAAGTCTGCACAGCACCTTCCCCAGCCCCCCCGGGGTTTGTTCCCTTGCACAAACAGTTCCCCTCCCACTTCAAGTTTCGACATCTCGAGCCGAGGTTGCATAAGGAGTAAAGAGGAGCGTTCAGCCCGGGGCACACGGCCGAGGGTTTGCGGGCAAAGGGCCCCAGCCCCGCACCCACTGCAGCCCCCGCTTCCCGCACGGGCCAGAGAACGACCCTCCCAGTG